GTGACACGCTCGAATTGAATGAATAGAATTAAGTAGGGGTAATTTAGCTAAAAGTGACACGCCTGGAAAAAGTGACACACCCATGAAGGGTGTGATTACCGATCGGTAATTTCGACAGTTTAGAATTTAAAATTTTTTATGGAACTGTTGCGAGTTTCATAAAGAATTTAAGGAATATAAGCAAAGATTTGAATCAAAATCTTAGACCTAAGCCGCTCGATTCGCTCGCGGCTTCCGCGAATTACAGATCAGCAAAGATTTGAATCAAAATCTTCGAACTAAGCCGATCGCTTTGCTCGCGGCTTTCTTTATTATTTTAAATTTGCATATTTCCATCAAAAGTCCATAAGGTAAAAAATTTCGTTTATTTTTACTAAGAAAAAAAAGGTTTTTGATAATAAATTTATTTTATTTCGAAAAAGTAGCAATAATCGTAAAAGGGTATTGATAGGCTTGCTAAAGTAACTAATTTTAGCTGTCAAATACTTTTGTATTTTGAAGTAAATTAGTATAAATTTGTTTTTACTTTTATTTCGAAAAAGTAGCAATAATCGTAAAAGGGTATTGATAGGCTTGCTAAAGTAACTAATTTTAGCTGTCAAATACTTTTGTATTTTGAAGTAAATTAGTATAAATTTGTTTTTACTTTTATTTCGAAAAAGTAGCAATAATCGTAAAAGGGTATTGATAGGCTTGCTAAAGTAACTAATTTTAGCTGTCAAATACTTTTGTATTTTGAAGTAAATTAGTATAAATTTGTTTTTACTTTTATTTCGAAAAAGTAGCAATAATCGTAAAAGGGTATTGATAGGCTTGCTAAAGTAACTAATTTTAGCTGTCAAATACTTTTGTATTTTGAAGTAAATTAGTATAAATTTGATATTATTTTAACTCCCTTTGAAAACCTCAATTTTCCATACAGAGGGAACGGGAATAGCATCCAATATTCCCTGAGAATGGTTGCGCATTCTCAGTTCCCTCTATATTTCGAACGAAGCTCTCATCGGTCTTTTTTTTTAATACTAAACGTTTTTTTTCCCTGTCACTTTTAGCTAAAATTTGGGTTTGCCGAAACTTAACAGCCTTAGGTCAATGGATTTTGATGTGAGATACATTTAATCTGTTTTTCTTTTTTTATTTTAAATAATTGAATATTTATAGTTGTTATGGGTCTTACATCATGTAAAACGAATTTTCTTAAAGTAAATTTACTTTTTCTTCAATCTTTCTTACATATTTATTAAAAAAAAATTATCCAAAAAAAGATGTTTTAGAATGAAAAAAAAATAGAAAAATCTTCATTTATAGTCTTTCTTGAATGTATACGTTTTGATTTTTTCTTTTTTAAAAAATTCAATTTCTAGAAAAATCGATAAAAAATCATTTTCTTCTATTTTTTTAGGACGCCATACCCATTGAAATCTCCTCTCAGGACGCCATAAACTATTCAATTATGGCGTAAACTTCTCAAAAATTAAATAGTTTACATCAGAACGCCTTAGGACGCCAACCCTTTACGCGCCCAGAACTGTTAAGGTACCGTTAGGTTTGTTCTCCCAATTTAAAAATATTAACCTTAATTAAAATAACTTGGGGATATTTATGCTCTTCTATAGCCTTATAATCAAATGATTTTATGCGCCTGAGAGGGTTAAATTTTGCTTTGATTTGATAAATTTTTCGATTTTATTAAAGATATACCATGTTTTGGTATAGTACAGTACAAATAATAAGATAAACGAATCCAATTTTAATGATTACAAATTAACTTTCTTTCAATTTGCCAGATTGAAGAAAAATCATGGTACTTTTGTTAATAATGCTTGATTTAAAAATGATTTATCGACTTAAAAAATCCGTAAAAAAGATTAACCAAAAATATTCTTTTGAGTTCTTGCAAATTAGCTTGATAACCATGGCCAAAACAATACATTCAAATAAAAATTATTATTTCCATTACATTATGGTTCATGCTTATTAGAAATTTATATTTCAAAGTTGAGTTACATAAATTCAAATTATTTCTTACATTTAACAAATTTTAAGAATACTGAAATGTTAATCAGGATTCTGAATCATCAAATTTTATAATTTTGAGGAAAAGTATTATTTAATTTTTCAGAATGGCACGGTTTATCAACATGAAACCTCTATAATCTTCTTGACTAATTGTTGTTCCTTCTATGGTATTGTTGTTGTTTCTGTCATGATATATAATGTTGTAAACTGTCATGAACAAAAAAATGTAAATAGATTTGAATAGAATCTATTCATTTTGTAATGATTTTACTGACATTTCATATCAAATGGAGGGTGAACCTACATTACTTGACAGCAACCCCAATGTTATGCCAGGGAAAAATGGCTCAATGTATTGTTTATTCATTTTATTTCATCGATTTGTAAAGTTGGAAATATTCATCAATAAGATTTGTAAAGTTATATAAATGATATTGAATGAAGCAAAAACTTCAGTGTAGTTGAAATTCTCTGCTATATTTAAGAAATATGCATACAACTTTACATGGGTGCCTAGAATTTGTGCAAATTTTGAGAATTTTTATCACTAAATATAAAAATTTAATTATTTCAGCAATTAGATAAAGAATTTCCCTGATTACATGTTTAGTTTATGAGTATTGAAACCTGACTTCTGTTTAATATTCAGAAACATAAAGTACTCACAAAATCTAGATTGAGAGGCGGTCAATGACTTTTGAGGGGAAATTAACGCATGGAATTTAATATTATTTAGGTTGATATTCTTGCTTATTATTTCAGAAAAAAATCTTAAAAATTTCAATATGAAAATTGAAAGCAATTCAAAAAAATTGCTAACATGTAAATTTTAATATCCTATGCATAATTTCATATTTTGAACATTTTGTATTTTTGTTTAAAACTTAAAATTTTGCGAATTTAATATAATTTATAAAATATAATACGTATATATATTTAAAATACACTAAATTTAATTGTTAATTGACGTTTTTGGGAATGAATTTTATCAAAACATGCCTGAATCCGAAAATTTGAAAGAACGAATTACACAATCATATATGTAGAATTCAAAATACAAACTTAAAGATTGTATACGTTTAAAATTATTCAGATTGTGTTTGATTTCCACTCATTCTGTTTCTTTTGAACTCTAACACTAACATTTCATGATTACATGATCCATTTATACATGGTTGAATTGTTCCAGATTCTACCAGAAAATCAATCCAAATTTCTCAATGCATTCATGTTGATTGGACAAAATTTAAAATTTATCAGCCTGTTTCCAGAGAAACTCATATATTCCCTAATGAAATGTAATTTTTGCTACATTTATTTCAATCAAATTTCAAAAAATTGACTGCAGAGCTTGAAAAGGTGATGAATCATGTTGTTATTAGATGTACATATTAGATTTACTATTTCCAAAAAAATGCTCAAATTTGAATAGTTTTTAGAAAATTTGGAATTACACTCCTTACATTATATATAATTAAATGTTTAAATTTTATTTATTTTTCCCTTTTAATTTTATAACTTGCTCTATCAAAACTAACCTCTCAATTGAAGGCCACAAAATCTAAGTAGTGAGGGTACACAAATTTTGTATGGAGTACGGTTCAATTTTTGAGAGCCTCACTACTTAGATTTTGTGACTACCTTAGATATTTTTTTCCAAAAAATAATTACCTATGCATGACATCCAAAATCTGATGAAACATTAATGACCCATTTTTGTAATTAATAGAAATATAATTCTCTCTTGTAGCTAACCTGTAAAATTAAATTTCGAATTTTTTTTTCTGATGTAATAAATCGATGATGCATAAAATATGTAAATTTTCTACTAATCATCTTATCTTAGACCAAATTGAAGATTTAAGCGATCAATAAAAATTATTTTGAGATTGTTAAGGGTGCACACGAGAGGATCATGTAAACTTCAGAATTTAGAACCTTATTTTTAGGCATTATCTTGGCTACCTATTTAGGCTCGAAAAGCAAAAAATATCAAAAAATACAACTTGAGTCCATTATGACCCTTTCATGGAGGTAGTTTTTATCCGCTAGTATTTTCCCTTTGAATCTCTTTACAATTCGAAATCAAATTCAAAACTCAGTAGAAGAAAGGAAGAATCGACTTACTACGGTTGTAATACGAATAAATACATATATTTAATTATTTTTATTTACATAATAATTGTTTGAAGCTCATATTCCATCAAATTTTTAAATAAAAACATTAAAATGTTGAAAATGTTCATATATTTTAATAGGGTTTTGGCACTTTATTGAGGAATTACTACATACATAGTCGAACTGAACTTGATATTTTGAAATTTAAATTATTTATCAAAATTAAAATTTAACTTGAAATTTATAATTATTTAGTCATATTTTGCATAATTCTAAGTAAATTTTGTAAAAAATCAAGAAAGAAAAATTTTAACGTGCTTTATTTTTTCTTTTTTATAATAATACATATTATTATATAATTAACATATTCATAATGTTTCACCCTTTCAAAAATATAATCCTCCTCCTCTCAAATAAACGTACATACGGGTGGCCTCTTTTTTCAAAAAATTAAAATTTGAAATTTTGGGCTCAAATATTAGAGATTTTTTCAACCTTCAACGATATATGTTGTCTATATCAGACCTCCTTTCTTTTTGATACTTAACATTGTTCCTAAATCTTAGCCGTTAAGGCTGTTCTGAAATAGGGATGCGACGGTTTTACGCCATGACCGTTTAAAAATAGAATAATACGCCATTTTTGGGGGCCGAATGGCGGGTACGAAGTAGCCGCCATTCGGCCGAATAACAAAACAATACAAAATTATCGCCGTCCTTTTTTTTTCTTTCTCTCTCTCTCTCTTTCTTTTCTCTTTCCTCTTTTTACTCCTCTTTCTCTTTTCATCATTAAACGTAGAAAGATATATTAATATTATTTTAAAATTAAAAAAAATAAAGAAAGTATAATAAGTAATTATTTAGTTATCGATATATATATGTAAAGTGATAATCTGAGGATAATCTGAGGAGGAGTCTGAGGATTAGACCGAGGAGTAGTTTGAGGAGTTTGATGATAATCTGAGGAGTTTGATGATAATCTGAGGAGTTTGAGGAGTAGTCTGAGGAGTTTGATGATAATCTGAGGAGTTTGATGATAATCTGAGGAGTTTGAGGAGTAGTCTGAGGAGTTTGGATAATCTGAGGAGTTTGATGATAATCTGAGGAGTTTGAGGAGTAGTCTGAGGAGTTTGAGGATAATCTGAGGAGTTGTCTGAGGAGTAGTTTCAGGAGTTGTCTGAGGATAATTTGAGGAGTTTGAGGAGTAGTCTGAGGAGTTTGATGATAATCTGAGGAGTTTGATGATAATCTGAGGAGTTTGAGGAGTAGTCTGAGGAGTTTGAGGATAATCTGAGGAGTTTGATGATAATCTGAGGAGTTTGAGGAGTAGTCTGAGGAGTTTGAGGATAATCTGAGGAGTTTGATATAATCTGAGGAGTTTGATGATAATCTGAGGAGTTTGAGGAGTAGTCTGAGGAGTTTGAGGATAATCTGAGGAGTTTGATGATAATCTGAGGAGTTTGATGATAATCTGAGGAGTTTGAGGAGTAGTCTGAGGAGTTTGAGGATAATCTGAGGAGTTTGATGATAATCTGAGGAGTTTGAGGAGTAGTCTGAGGAGTTTGAGGATAATCTGAGGAGTTGTCTGAGGAGTAGTTTCAGGAGTTGTCTGAGGATAATTTGAGGAGTTTGAGGAGTAGTCTGAGGAGTTTGATGATAATCTGAGGAGTTTGATGATAATCTGAGGAGTTTGAGGAGTAGTCTGAGGAGTTTGAGGATAATCTGAGGAGTTTGATGATAATCTGAGGAGTTTGAGGAGTAGTCTGAGGAGTTTGAGGATAATCTGAGGAGTTTGATGATAATCTGAGGAGTTTGATGATAATCTGAGGAGTTTGAGGAGTAGTCTGAGGAGTTTGAGGATAATCTGAGGAGTTTGATGATAATCTGAGGAGTTTGATGATAATCTGAGGAGTTTGAGGAGTAGTCTGAGGAGTTTGAGGATAATCTGAGGAGTTTGATGATAATCTGAGGAGTTTGATGATAATCTGAGGAGTTTGAGGATAATCTGAGGAGTTGTCTGAGGAGTAGTTTCAGGAGTTGTCTGAGGATAATTTGAGGAGTTTGAGGAGTAGTCTGAGGAGTTTGAGGATAATCTGAGGAGTTTGATGATAATCTGAGGAGTTTGAGGAGTAGTCTGAGGAGTTTGATGATAATCTGAGGAGTTTGATGATAATCTGAGGAGTTTGAGGAGTAGTCTGAGGAGTTTGAGGATAATCTGAGGAGTTTGATGATAATCTGAGGAGTTTGATGATAATCTGAGGAGTTTGAGGAGTAGTCTGAGGAGTTTGAGGATAATCTGAGGAGGAGTCTGAGGATAATCTGAGGAGGAGTCTGAGGATAATCTGAGGAGGAGTCTGAGGATTAGACCGAGGAGTAGTCTGAGGAGTTTGAGGATAATCTGAGGAGTTTGAGGATAATCTGAGGAGTTTGAGGATAATCTGAGCATAATCTGAGGAGGAGTCTGAGGATTAGACCGAGGAGTAGTTTGAGGATAATCTGAGGAGGAGTCTGAGGATTAGACTGAAGAGTAGTTTGAGGATAATCTGAGGAGTAGTTTCAGGAGTAGTCTGAGGACTAGTCTCAGGACTAGTCTGATGAGGAGGACTCTAAGGAGTAGTCTGAAGAGTAGTCTCAGGAGGAAGATCTGAGGAGGAGTCTTATGAGGAAGATCTGAGGAGTAGTCTGATGAGGAGGGGTCTAAGGAGTAGTCTGAGGATGATGAGTAATCTGATAAGGAGTAGTCTGAGGATGATCTGAGGATAACCTGATGACTAGTCTAGGAGTGGTCTAATAAAAATGTAAAATATTTTCAAAGAAAAAATTCTATGAATTTTATATTTTAATTCTTAGCATTATACTGAATAAAATAAACATAAATATCAAAATTTGAAATTGAACACGCCAAAAAATTGATAATCCACATTCAATATTTTGTAAGTGGCGTATTTTTTGAATACTCGCCATACGCCTTGGAGTTCTCAATTTTGAATTCGCCTTTATTTGGGCGACCTCAGAAAAATACGCCATTAAGAAAATATTGTATGAGATTTTAAATTTGAACACGCTCTACCTTAAGGAATTAAATTTATTAAGATATATTTATATATAATAAACGATTACTTAAAAAAAAGTATTTCATCGCTTATGTAAGTTTCAAAAAAATCACGAAAATAAAAAAATCAAGATTAAAATTTTATTTTTAATTTTTGAATTTCTCAAATGGCGAAATTTTTGGGCGAACAAAAAAAATGTACGCCCGGTCAAATGGCGTGTTTAACGCATCCCTATTCTGAAAATATTTTTTTTCGAAAAAATTCGAAAAAAATTCTTAAAATTCAAAAATCCCTTAATTCCTGAGGATTTTGGAAAAAAGTTTTTACATGAACATGTGTATATTATATGAAGTATATTGATAAGGTAAAAATCAAATTTTATTGCATATTCATCGAGAAAATAAACTAACGAATCCCTCAAAATTGAGAGGGTAATCCTCCTCCTCTCAAATAAACGTACATACGGGTGCACCCTTAAAAATAAAAAATTTCTACATTTTTATAAAGGTAGTCTCACGAAAATACGTTATTTTCCCGATGCCTTGGAAGCAGCTTTGCAGGTTACCCGTAAGGTAACCAGTAGAAGTTTCTGAGCAAGGATGAAGAAGATTAAAGAGCCTTTTTATTGCAAACGCTATATTTGTAAGTGTCTTTGTAGAACTTCTCATAAATTCAAAGATTTCCAAAAACGAATTTTTCGATTTTGATATAATAAATGATATTTAAACAAATTATAGATGTGTTTGCAATTAAAAAAATCCGAGTTAACTACAATATCTTCAATTTTTGTCGTTCACTTTTTCATGTCATACTGATAGCAAGAATACTCACCCAATTTGGTTACACTTCATGATAGTTTGAAGTAAAAAAATGCCACAGTTTTTTTTATTTGATATCGTTATCTAAATTTTGTACAGAAATGAAATAAATTATAATATGAAACGTGTGTTATTATGCTTGTTGGGAAACAATCCAATACTTATGTCTGAATGAAATGATTATTTCTACGAGATTTTTCATATTCAGCTAATAATGCTATCAAAATCAAATAACAATAAAAAGTTATTTTGTACATAATGTAACTTAATCTTTAATACTATATAGAACTTCGAAATACGACTAAACGGTGCGAGTTATGCGATTAAATACCTTTTTTTCGATCGAAACCTGAAAGTGAGGATAACTCAATGGGTAGGGGTATGGGTTCGACTTTTTCTATTGGGCAACTATTTTTTTCTTTTCATTGTTTCAGCATTTTTTTATGCGATTATGCATAATTATTTGATTTCCTATATATTCAATAATAAATTTGTTCCGAACTCTTAACAAATAAATAAATTTTTAGAATATTTAAATTTATAGCTCCCTACATTAATATAAAGTGTTCGAATAGTTCATATATAGTTTCTTTAAAATAATTTGTTTCATTTTAAATTGGTTTGGCACAATGCTTGACATAACATGCACAAAGCTATGCCATTTTAAAATATGTATATCAATCAAGCCGATTAAGTCCATCCTAAACGAAAATCATCGATACTCATGAATTTATGATAGTCGTTCTTGATATAATTGCGCGTTTTAAAAAATGCTTACTTTTGAACACAGAACTATCTATCCATATTTATCAATGAAAGTTTATAAGATGCATTAATGACAAAACCTTACTTTATCAATTATAATCTTATCGAAATTTCAAACTACAATACTGTGGGGCAAATATTAAATAACCACTATGTTGCGGATTTTATGTAAGTCTGCAAACTGTAAAATGTAATTAAACACAATAAAAAAAAATGTAAATTTTAATCGAGAAATTTAGCAATCTTAAAAGCCTTGATCGGCATCTTTTACAAGATGTTAGTAATGCATATTCAATAACTATGAAAATCTAGCCAAGCATGGATTTTTTCGAAAAAAAATTGTATTAAATTTCATTTTTCATTCTTTATACAAGTTTTAACCTTTGGTGCAATTATATCCTATCGCAAATGCATTATTGACGTTATTACTTGGATACTTTTCATAACGCTAAATCTTCAAATTAGTTATGTGTTTGTTACTAATAGAAGTTGGAAAGGTATTAAAAAAGGAAATGTTAATAAATATACATGTTTAATTAAAAAACAAACAAGAATAAATTAAATAATTTTATTTCTTAGGAAAGTCTAAGTTTTGTAATAGATAAATTGCTTTTTGTGTCTCTTCTTCATCAATTTCTGGATGTTGATTCTCAGGTGGCGGACTAATTAAAACATCATGGGCAATATCAAACCATTGTTTTAGTTCGTTGGCAGAAGGAAAATGATCTTCTTGTATTGGCGTTATTAATGATTGAAAATCATCAGTTGATTCTGCATTTTGGGAATTTTCCAAATTTTCATTTGGAAAATTTGAATTTTGAGATATTGTTTAAGCACTCAGATCTCATTTTTAAAATATCTGCACCAAATTCTTACATCTGATAATTTTCATGTGTAACCAATGTTTCCCAATCCATTTGCCATACCCTACTAATCGCAAATTCATTCCCTTTAATTTTGTATTAAATTTAAATTCCAATCTTAATTTCTACATTATTTATGCTAACCCTTTAAATTTTGTTCTTATTTATTCACCCTCAGATACAAATTTATTTAGAATGTATTCCTCTGAGGTCTATATTTGTATTCGAAAATAAAATCTTTAAAACTCTCTAAGTTATCATTTTCTCTTCAGATATCTAATATTTTTCTAATGACATAACTACTTTGGACGCATATCCAAATTCCAAAAAAAATATGGAAAAAATAAAAATGAAATTGAAAAATACAATTTTTGATATGTAAAAAGAGATTTTGAAAAAAATTGGGAAAAAGAGTATCTAATAAAATTGTTTGAGATCTATGTAGACATAGTTTTTACATTAAAAAATCAATAATATTGAAATTGATCTGAATATATCTTTTTTTTTAAAGTTTGAATGCATTAATCTCAAAGCATTTGATAAAATACTGGTTTTATTTCAAAATTCTAAATAATTTGTAATTAGATCTTTATGATGTAATTTAATTTTAAACAAGTACAGATAAAGAGAATCATAATAAAGGTGATCTATATTGCTTAAGTAAAATTGAGTATAATAGATCGATCTTAGCAACAAGATCTGAGGAAGTAGATTTGAGAGTCGAGAGTTGGGATCTTAGCAACAAGATCTGAGTAAGTAGATTTGAGAGTCGAGAGTTTGGATCTTAGCAACAAGATCTGAGGAAGTAGATTTGAGAGTCGAGAGTTTGGATCTTAGCAACAAGATCTGAGGAAGTAGATCTTAGCAACAAGATCTGAGGAAGTAGATTTGAGAGTCGAGAGTTTGGATCTTAGCAACAAGATCTGAGGAAGTAGATCTTAGCAACAAGATCTGAGAAAGTAGATCTTAGCAACAAGATCTGAGGAAGTAGATCTGAGCAACAAGATCTGAGGAAATAGATTTGAGAGTCGAGAGTTTGGATCTTAGCGACAAGATCTGAGGAAGTAGATTTGAGAGTCGAGAGTTTGGATCTTAGCAACAAGATCTGAGGAAGTAGATCTTAGCAACAAGATCTGAGGAAGTAGATTTGAGAGTCGAGAGTTTGGATCTTAGCAACTAGATCTGAGAGTTTTATCATTTCCGGCATATTGGGCCGAAAAGGAGTGATCCGCGTAAGTATGAAAAAAAGTGAATTTTGTTGTA